GCCGCAGCCCCCGCGTCCCCCCCATGTCACCTGTGTCCCCTCTGCATCACCCATGTCCCCCCGTGTCACCTGTGTCCCCCCCGTGTCACCTGTGTCCCCTGCCACGCACTGTGCACCCTGCCCAGCCCTGGGCATGCAGCATGTGCAGCACGTGGTGGCCTCGCGTGTGGCACCTCTATAGTCCCAATGTGCATGTGACATCCTGCCATTGATGTGACATCCTGCCATGGATGTGGTGTCTCCATCCCCTACTATATATGGGACACCTCTGTCCCCCACGGTGCATGCGGTGGCCTTGCATGTGACACCTCCATAGCCCCGACATGCATGTGACACCCTGTCATGGATGTGACACCCTGTCATGGATGTGACATCCTGCCATGGATGTGACACCCTGCCATGGATGTGACACCCTGCCATGGATGTGACATCTCCATCCTCATACATGTTGCCATGGATGTGGCACTTTGCCACGGATGTGACATCCTGCCATGAATGTGACATCTCCATCCCCTACTATATATGGGACACCTCTGTCCCCCATGGTGCATGTGGTGGCCTCGCGTGTGGCACCTCCGTAGCCCTGATGTGCGTGTGACATCCTGCCATGGATGTGACACCCTGCCATGGATGTGACACCCTGCCATGGATGTGACATCCTGCCATGGATGTGACATCTCCATCCTCATACATGTATGGGGACCTTGTCCTCCACTGGGTACGTGGTGGCCTCGCGTGTGGCACCTCCATAGCCCTGATGTGCGTGTGACACCCCACCGTGGATGTGACATCCTGCCATGCATGTGACATCCTGCCATGGATGTGACATCCTGCCATGGATGTGGCCCCTTGCCACGGATGTGACATCCTGCCACGAATGTGACATCTCCATCCCCTATTATACATGGGACACCTCTGTCCCCCATGGTGCATGTGGTGGCCTCGCGTGTGGCACCTCCGTAGCCCTGATGTGCGTGTGACATCCTGCCATGGATGTGACAACCTGCCATGGATGTGATACCC